AGATTGTAGGTCGGGCTGGTATGTGTTGCCCGCGGTACAGCCGATATCTTATCCCATCACATTACTGTGTCGGCGTGGGCCTTTGGGGTCAAGGGGCCAATTCCCCCTCTCTCACCCTGGTGTAAAACAGGAGTAACTCCACTGGAGTCAAATGGCCGATTCCCTTCTCTCTCACCCTGGTGTAAACCAGGAGCAACTCCCGCCAATGGGGCCCCTTCGCTGTGGGGTAGGAGCAATGCCCCCCACTGACTCGAGTGTGTGGGGTGGTTGTCGGCAGGTCTGAGCTATTTATTACCCTTTGTTGCAGCCCAGGGCGGCTTGTGTCTCGTGGGAACCTGTGTCGGGCTGGACTTCCCAGTGTCGTAAACCTGAGGTGTGAGTCCCAGTGGGGGAGGGCCCCCAGCTCAAAGACTAGCGAGACGAGAACTTTCTCATGGGGGGGCCCGGCAGGGAGGAAAGGCCAGGCTAGCAGCTCCCCCCGGCACGTCGTGCACAGACGTATCCACTCATTCACAGACACACGAGTACATGCCCAGACTAGTACACCTAAACCCCGGCGTAGACATGGTTCAGCCAATGAACAAATTCTTCTAGCCACTGCCTTGGAAAGCTTTGTTCCCAGACGAAGCGTAAAAGTCCAAAGCAGACCAAAGGGATCTCCCCAAACCGGGTGAGTGGGCAAATGAATGGCAGATTAAATTCATTGTTGATCAATGCAAAGTAATGCACATTGGAAAACATAATCCCAACTATCCCTATAAAATGATGGGGGCTAAATTACCTGTTACCACTCAAGAAGGATCTTGGAGTCATTGTGGATAGTTCTCTGAAAACATCCACTCAATGCGCAGCGGCAGTCAAAAAAGCGAACAGAATGTTGGGAACCATTAGGCAAGGGATAGAGAATAAGACAGAAAATATCCTATTGCCTCTATATAAATCCATGGTACGCTCACACCTTGAATTCTGTGTGCAGATGTGGTCGCCCCAGCTCAAAGAAGAGATATTGGAATTGGAAAAGGTTCAGAAAAGAGCAACAAAAATGATGAGGGGCATAGAACAGCTTCCATATGAGGAGAGATTAAAAAGACAGGGACTTTTCAACTTGGAAAAGAGACGACAAAGGGGGGATATGACAGAGGTCTATAAAGTCATGAGTGGTGTGGAGAAAGTAGATAAGAAAGTGTTATTTACTCCTTCCCATAACACAAGAACTAGGGGTCACCTAATGAAATGAATAGGCAGCAGGTTTAAAACAAACAAAAGGACGAATTTCTTCACACAATGCACAGTCAATCTGTGGAGCTCCTCGCCAGAGGCTGTTGCGAAGGCCAAGACTATAACAGGGTTCAAAAAAGAACTAGAGAAGTTCCTGGAGGATACCCCCCTCTATCTATCCCCATCCACTGCCTCTATCTAGCTATCTATTTATCCCCACACACACCCTCTATCTATCTATCTATCTATCTATCTATCTATCTATCTCCATATACCCCCTCTATCTATCTATTAGCCAGGATGGTCAGGAATGCGACACCATGCATGAAGGCAGTTTGCCCACCTCCCACAAC